CCTTTTTAAATTTTCTTTAATACTTTTGTTTTTTACGTCACAAAAGAAAAATGTTGAAAATGCGTGCTATTAATTTAATAAAGTTGGGCGCTTTTATTATAGATAAGTGCCTAAAATGTTTATAATCAAATATGACATCAGTTGGGTCTGGTTTTGCGTTTTCTTTGTGACGTTTTTGTTTACATTTTGGTTTTCTGGAATTTGCTGATATTTCCTTAGGCTTTGACCTTTAGTGAAGAGATTTATTTCTATTTTTATTCGAATACAATTAATAGATTGGTTCTAGTTGTGATTGCCTTTTAGTGAAAGAGAATTTGTTGCATGTAATTAAATGGTGGCTAATAAGATAAAACTAATTATTTATAATTACTTTATTTTGCAGGTAACAGATCTGTATGAAGAGATTTTATTTGAAATTTACAACAACATTGGCTGTGAAAACAACGATCAGTGCATAAATAGTTTAATTGAATTTGTGCAGGATGCTTTCAAAATTCCAAACGCAACGCATTTGGAAATTTGTGAGGCGGCGAGACTTAAAGAACCACCCAATGTTAGACTAAATGTTGAGATAATAAAGGCCGAGAACTTAATGTCCAAGGATTCGAATGGCCTATCTGATCCGTTTGTAACCCTCTACTTAGAATCGAATAGTTCCCATCGATATAACTCATCTGTAAAGCCTGCCACATTAAATCCTATATGGGAGGAGCACTTTTCACTGTGAGTATTTAATGTCTTGCATTCAAAGCTTTTCTTAGAATTAATAATTCCTTTTCTTAAGGCCCATTACCGAAAATGCTCGGGACGAAGTTCTTATCGTTGAAGTCTGGTAAGCTTAATTAGAAAATATATATAATAATATAAAAATGCACTCATCAAAGTCAAGTTTTCTAAAATTCACTTAACTCGGAATAGTAGGTTAATGGTCTGAATCTAACTAACAAGAAGGTATGGCATCAAAAAACTCAGATTTCTTTTCCTATTTTTAGAAATTTTTTTTTGTAAAGTAGAGTGAGTAAAATGTTTTTGATAAATGATAATATAAGTGTAAAAAAATAAATGGTAAAATAAATGGGAATTTGTGGACATCGGAATATTTGCAAAAACATGTTCTAAATATATAATTGATTTCAAGCTATTTTTAAGTAAACAAATTATTCTTATAAAAGCTTTATTGGATTTGGATTGGATTTTAAGTTAAATATAAATTTGATTTAATGAAAAAATTAGCAGAATACCTTTTTTGTTTAGAATCCGATGTCTAATTGTTAGATTTCTTAATTAAAATAATAAATTGATTTTTTTTATTTTTTAGGGATTTCGATGCAGCGGAAACGGTTAAAGAAAAAGTTAATAAAATACTCGATGTCAAAGGAGTGAAGGGGCTTAGTAAGTTAATGAAGGAAATAGCTGTGACAGCTTCATCGGGAAAACATGACAATGAGTTAATAGGAAGAGCTGCAATTACACTAAAGGTAAGTAAAATATTTTGAAATTCCTAAAACTAAACTAAAAATTTTTTATTTCAAAAGTCTATTCCAGTTTCTGGCCTAACCGTTTGGTACAATCTTGAGAAAGGAAGCAAAGGCCGAAGTCGAGGATCACTTTTGGTGAATCTGGCTTTGAGTGCCGAAAAGAACAAAAGTGTAGCCGTGCAGGAGCATAAGAATTTGCTGAAACTGCTGCTGATGTACGAGCTGGAAACTTCGCAGGTGGCAAACTACTGGTGGAGCGGAAAGTTCAGTCCAAATGCCGAACTAATTCGATCCCAGCATGCTGCCCAGAGCGGGTTAACGCCCTTCGATTGTGCTTTAAGTCAATGGCATGCTTACAGCACCATCCATGAAACACACAAACTGAATTTCACCCTTTTCAACTCTATTCTGGATGTTGTGGTGCCAGTTATCACCTATATGCAGAACGATTCGGAGGATGTGAAAACATTCTGGGATGGAGTGAAGCGGCTGCTGCCCTCGTGCTTCGCAGTTCTACGGAAATTGAGGTCCAAGAACACCAGTGATAAGAACATAATAAAGGCACTCAATGAAGTGCTGGATATTCTTAAGAAGATTAAGGAATTGGAAGTGCCTGAAAGTGTAGATATTTTCCCCAAATCGGTTTACGGCTGGATCCACACAAACGATACGGGTGAATCGTGCAATATTGACACTGCCATCGAGGATGCCATCAATACGGGTACCAAAGAATGGCTGGAACATATAGTCGAGGGCAGCAGGCAATCCAAAAATAATGAGACCGATGACGAAAAGTTGCAATACGTTATAAAACTTATACAAATGGTACGCTCTGACCTCCAACGTGCAATGGAATTCTTTGATAAAATATTTTACCAGTAAGTTACGTTCATATATATATATATATTTATCAATGTCTTAAATCTTATTTCCCTATATCCGTTTCAGCAAAATTCAGCTTAACTATTCCGCAATCCTTTATTTATTTTACGACTCAAAACTTGCTGAAATTTGTAAATCCATTATAATAGAAGTGTGCAATAACATTAAGAGACTAGATGTGCCAGACGATCAATTCGAATATTTGCCCAACCTGGAGAATGTAAATATGGGTACTACATTATTCGAAGTTTATTTAATACTCAAGCGATATGTCACTATGGGTGAGTTGTAATAAAACTTCATCTCTATTAAATAATGATTATTTATTATGTTTAAAGGCGAATCCCTGTGTTCCGAAAGCCTGGAATTGGCCAACTTTTACCCCTGGTTCGAAAGGGGAGTTACTCACTGGCTCGATATCTCAATAATTAAGGCCTTAAGTCGTATTCAAAAAGCAATTGATTTGGATCAGCTGAAGGCTGTTGACGAAACAGTCAAATATAGTTCTTCGGCAGTAGATACACTTTCAATATTCTATCAAATCAAGATATTTTGGCAACAACTTGACTGGCCTGAAGTCGAGGGATCCTACATATTTGTAGCCAAAATTGTCAATGTAAGATGGAGAATGTACTTCAATTTGCTAATTTATTTAGTAATATATATATTTTTTCGTACAGGATCTTTGTCGGTGCTGCATATTTTATGCCCAACAGATGTCTCGCAGGGTTGAAAACATTAACATTGGTGATAATAACAAGAATTTTAGTAAGTGTATTTAGACAAATAAATGTATTTTTAAATAACTTTTTATAATTACAGCTTTATCCGAAGAGTGGTGCATAGCTATCAACAACATGGATTACATCCGCCAGACTTTACCCTCATTCATAAAGGTATATGATTTATTTCTTTAAGAACTAATGAAATGACACTTTAGATCTTTTAAATCTTTTACTTATACAAGGAACTCAGCATTGATGATATTATAAAGAGATTGGGAGAGTATCGTTCAAACTTAGAGGCTGAACGCTGCGCCAGCACCATAAAAACTGTAATCGAAAACGCATTAGACACGGAACGAAACCAGATCGTTGAGCTCATAGAGATTGTGGCTAGAAAAATGGCCCCGCCTATTAAACGATATTTGGCCGAAGGTGCTGAGGTCCTGGCCAAGGACTCGAACTCTATGGACCAGCTAATGATGTATTTGGAGGCCTCGTTGACCACGCTCTATGATACTCTTAATGAAATCAACTTTCAAAGAATATTGGACGGCATTTGGTCTGAGCTATCAATTATAATGTATGACCTTATACAATCAAATCTGGACGTAAGCGCTATTTTCTTTACCATCTGGCAATTTATAAATAATCTATTGTATTTCAGAAACGACGCCCACCAGCTTTCTTTCAAAATTTAAACAACACTCTTCAGACAATGATGGATTGTTTTAAAATGGGCAACATTGAATCTTCGGACGTAAAGATTTTGTCTGCAATTCAAAGTAGGCTAAGGCTTTATTCCCTGGAAACAGCAGATCTTATTCATCAGTATTATTTGGAGCGACTGGAAACGCAAAAGAGCCAAGAGTCGTCTCCCTATGGACAACTTACTATAACGGCTCAATTAACTGATTCCGGGTTATTGGTAAGACTTTAATGAATTTAATCCTTTAATTCTGTTTGCTTAAAATGTTGCATTCCATAGTTAACTATTTTAAATGCACGCAATCTGCTGCCAATGGATTCAAATGGCTCGGTCGATTCATTTGTGAAGGCTAGTTTCATGCCCACAAGCAGATTTAATGATATAATGACAGTGAAGACAAATGTTCACAATAAAAGTTGTTTTCCACTTTACGACCAGGAGTTTCGTATGTAAGTAATGGTTTAAATTTGAGAGGAAATGTATTCATATTTTTCTTAAATAGAAACTTGACTGAGCAGCAGCGAAATGATAAGAACAGCCTGATTTTATTCAGTATCAAGGATAAAGATTTATTTGGAATGTCCAGCCAATATATAGCAGAGTGCTATATATCATTCGAAGATCTCGAAGCAACACCAGGCGAACAAATAATGATGAATTTATCCAGACCGGAATATACAGGTATGTTTATCTGCTTCGTAGTGTATAAATAGGTGGAAATAAATATAGCATATCTCTTTCAGATTCCGATTCATTGCGAGCTCTGGAATACAGATTAGGTGATAAGCAGGCCAAGGATTTCCTTAAAAAATTGAAAAACCGATCCTTCTCTTAAATTACAAATTGTTGACCATACTATGTTGTGAAAAAAAGCAATAAATTATATTTTTTTACGGCTTTCAACTACGAAATAAAATAAAACAAAAAATGCGTATTTTTTGGGTGAAAGCACTAGCCATTTTTCTTTAGAGTTCGTTTGTAATTTTGAATAGTCATTTGATTATCTGATAAACAGGACAGGATAGGACGTCTAATACAAATTAAAAAACCGATCCATACTCTTTTAAATTACAATACTATGTTGTGAAAAAAACAATGAAATATAGTAAGTACGGCTCTTAAACTAAGAAACCAAGGATAATATTTTTAAATTCGTATTATTTTGGTACAAGTATCAGCCAAATTCCTGTTTAAATAAAACACTCATACTTTTGACAATTATTTACTTTTATTGGAACAAAAACCAACACGGTACTTTAGGTATAAATACATAACACTCACTTTTTACGATTTAAGAGTTATTTTTAGATCTGTTGTTATAAATAATAATTAAACGGTATTTGTATTAAATTAATTATTCGTATAGGGTTTGATTTACGCGCACGTGAAACAACAATACGTGGATGGCAAAAACTACTATGGCTTAAGTTTCTGCCGTTGTGCTTTATTGACGGCGACGTGTGTTGCGTTGCTTATCGAAACGCATTTCCATTTCTTCAAGAACCTTTGGAGTGTAGCGTACTACCAGCTTGACAGATCCAACAGCCTGCTTTAACAGTTCTACTGCCTTTTCGTGATTTTCTCCTTCAACAGACTGAAATAATGGAATTGTTATCTTATAAGTCAAGAGCATTTGAAGTCAAATAAATTGCCACACTTGACTTACCACACCATTTACAGATAGAAGTTGATCCCCTCTTTTTAAACCTCCATGCCTATCAGCAACTCCTCCAGGTATTATACGAGATATATAGATTGGTGAATTTTGCTCCTTGCCTCCCATTACATTGAAACCTAGGCCTGTAAAGAATCAAATCATGTTGTAAATGTTGTTAAATAGTAAAAAGATCTCTTGGATAAATAACTTCGTATTTATAAAGCTATTCTGAGATGATTTCTCATCCCCATTTCCCAGTTAATAGTATTTAAGTTTAGTTCTTTGTTAGTTTCTTAGTTAGTAAGATGGCGGATTCCATAAGTTATTAATTTGTTTAAGTTAAAAACCCAAGTCCCGGGTACAATATCTACATTTATATTTCTGTATATGTACAATATAGGGGAACTCTCTCCGATTTTAGAATATTTTCGTATGCAGTTGCAGTTTATGAAGCTAAGGATTTCTTCCTTAGTTCCTTATAGAGAAAAGAGGTTTTCCTATAGCTTAGTTAGATGGCGGATTCTTAGGTGATAGGGGCGTGGGCGTGGCTTACCCTCCTCTGTCTTGGGCAGTTCCACAACCCGGGGATGTGCATGACCCTCGCTGGCGGCGAAGGCGGCCACAGTGGCCTTGGCAGTGGCGGAGGCTCTTACGTCTTGGGAGCCCTGGATGTCGACAGTCTCGTAGACGTGCTCGTACACCTCCCGCACGGAGGTCATGAAGTCGGAGTTGAGAACCTTTTGCAGGGCAGCCAGTTTTGTTGTGGGAAAATCACCACTGGCCTGCAGTTTTTCCAGCAGCTCTATCGATCTTTTGACATCTGGAATTTTGAGGGTTTAAAAGCATGCACCATACAGTCATGCCTTGATTTAGTATTACTTACCCCTAGACAGAGTCAGTGGTTCTGTATTATCGGCCATAATGTGGCAGAATTTCAATAAATCTAATAAAATTAACCTGACCTGAAATACAATTCTTAAGTGCTGAAAATAATGTGACCGTAAGACCTCAATGCCATAAACGCCATTTTATGACTAAAGGTATTTTATGAAATTTACGTTCATGGTCGTACTTTTTTGTGTTGACATTATTTACTTCGTCTTTTTTATAAAACTTAGGAAAAAGAGGGTTTATTAATTAAAATGAGTTTGCCGGCAGCACTTTTACAGCGTCTAAAAAAGCGTGGACTTGTTACGAAACAATCGGGTAAATATAAACACCTAGTAAAGTACAACATTACTCGGCTTAAATAATTTATTATTGGGCGTACATAAAGTAAAAAATAAGTTAATATGAACATAGCGTACATAAAGTAATTTATTATACGATGTATATATTGATAACTATTAAAATATCAGAAACTTCAAAAGAAATTATATTTATACGTAGAAAGTATATGTATATATTTTAGAACTACCAATAACAATCAAAATATTCCTTTCTCTTTAGGAACGACGCCCATATCAGAAGCTATAGAAGAGATTATAGCCGAAAACTACGACGACGATGACAAGAGTGGTCCGTATCCATACAAGGAGGACCTGGCCCCGGAACCCAAGCGTAGGACCGTCGAGGAGCAGTTCTGGTCGCACCGCATCAAGGAGCGAATCGGCGTGAATGAGTCCTACCATGGATACAAGCTGTGCCCCAACAAGTACAACATCTACCACAAGTGCTCCTTGTACTGCGTGAACAAGTTCAATAGCTCCCCGCACTCCGGACCAAGCCATAAGTATCTGAAGCGCTACAAGAGATTGCTGCGAAAGTATCCAATGGAGGCGGGCTGGAAGGATATATACGACAAGGGCTGCAAGGCATATTACTTTTATAACTCGACAACCCAGAGTGTTTCGTGGCTACCGCCATCGCACCCAAAAGCTCGGATCACCAACAGTGCCGCCGTATTTCGCCGGCAATTGGCCAATTCCAATGATGAATTCGATTTCGACTCCGGCAGCTTGGTCCTGCCCAAATCTTCTGGCCTAAATGAACCCAATGAGCCAGAGAACGCATTCTTTGTACCCCCCAAGAAGCAAAAATCAAGGGACTTGGATCGAAAACTTCAACGAAGGCGGCGAAATGATAATTAGGATAGCAAACTGTATACTATAATTTTTGCTTTTGCAAATAAAGAAATATAATAAGTACTATTATAATTGTCAGCCCTCTCAACAATACCCTTCTTCATAAGGTTTAAAAATGTACACTCTGCTTTATTGAATTGCTAGCTTAAGACAATGAATGTGGTGGTGCCGCGAAACAATTAAATCGAAGGAACCGGGAATTTCATCAAAGAAGCAACTCGATAAAATCTGTGTCACACGAGTCGGGGAATATGTTTAATTTGATTTTGAGGCGGCGATTAAAGCCCTCAACATGAGGATGCGGTGGACACACTTTCACCAAACGATGTGCTATGTGTAGTGTTTTAACCAGGTTTTACATATATATTGGTGAAAGATCAATATTATTTGGGTTTATTTCAAGGTGCGCTTTCCCTTAACAACAACCGGTCGGTTTCTTATGTAGCCCTTGCGTCGCTTCGAGTTCTGTAAATATATATACTTTAGTGTTGTAATTGATTAAAATTATGTAGAATTCTACCTTTCTAGAGATAAAGTTTGCTGGAGGAATCGTTCTCTCCTTGGTTTTCAGGGACGGTCTATTGAACTCGTGCGGCTTCTTAACCCTATAGATGCGAACAAGCCAGTGTTCCGTTGTATAGGCCTCTTCCAGGTAGGTCAGGTCAAAGTCTTTATTGCCGATGACTGCGTTACGAGTGCGGTCATATCCCGATGGTCCTCTGAAAAAAGTGTGTTTAGTAAGGCAATTCATTTGCACTCATATTGCCATCCTACCTGTAGTCCAGTTTCAAGTCCCCGAATCTGTAGTAACTCAATTTGTACATAAGGCAGTTAAGTAGAGCCGGAGCACCTTCGGCATCCACCCTGAATTCACCGCGGTCCGTAAAATAATCACTCTCCTTGATATCCTTGGGATGCTCGCCTTCGGCGATTCGCACCATCCAGAGGAACTTGTTGATGTCATCGCCAGAGTAGCCAATGACACCGCCAAAGATCACCAGGACGTAGTCCACGTCAAGAGAGGTCATAATTTCGTAGGATTTTTCCTCGGTCGAAGACATTGCCTTGCCAACGAGCGCTATGTGACTATTGTTCCACGTATTATTGTCCACTAGAGTGGTTCTGTTTGCCATCCCTGCTATCTGGTATCCGTAATCCCACCACGACATAACGCGGGCATCATCAGCGGTGTTCTGGGAGAGCCAGTAGTATGCCTCCCTGAAGTCGTCCAAAATGTTGCGAGACCTAAAGGAGAAATGGTTAGAGAGTGCTATATATAACAGGGTAATATTTTACTTACCCATCTTGGCTGTTGTGGAAAGCAAGCACAATGGAGGGGCTGGAGTAGGCATTGCTGGTTACCCAGGTGCAGTGAACAGCGAACATCATCAGAAGCATTAGAACGGCCAAAATAACAATACTCTTCAGGTTCGAGCTGATGCCAGTGTCCTGCTGGGCATCATGTTTAGTGCGGTGCTTCAGTTTTCCAGCCTGCAAATGTGTGTTTGTTAAAACAAAACTACAAAGTCTTCTGCAACAATCACTAACCTTATCGTACAGAGTCTTTTTCTCAATGGATTCCTCGGCTTCGTCCGTTTCGGTGGCCGTGGTTATGGCTGTGCCCATGCGCTTAGATGAATCCTCTTGCAGGAAGACGTCCAACAGGCCCGAAAAGGCCACTCCAGCCAGCATGCAGACAACAGGCGTGAGGGTCAGCATCAAACGCACCATTACGCCGGCAAAGTAGACAGCACTGATGGCGTACAGGACGACGAAGACGCGCTCATCGTTGATCTGCTTGATGCAGTACCACACGCCAACGGGAAAGGCGCAGACCAGGATGTGGAGATCGAAGAAGAACGAGAACCAGGTCGTCGGCTGATGCTCCGAAACGGAGGCAATGATGGGAATGTGGATCTTAGCGTACCCGGTGTCCCACAGCGAGTAGAAACGTCCGCTCCAGGGTGCCACAACACCCAGCATGGTGAGCACTACGACGGCCACGAAGACGCCAACGCCCACCAGCAGTCCGCCGACGATGAACAGCTTGCGGAACTCGTGACGGGACAGCACGGACTGCAGATGCCGCAAGGTGGCCACGGCCATCAGGAGCACAAAGACGCCCAGGGCAGCCATGTGCTCGCTGGTGCGAATCGGCTGGAATCCCACGAAGGGGATCTGCATGGAGAAGAGCAGTCCGAGGATGTAGAAGGTACTGTAGCTGGTCAGCAGGCGCGGTGAGTAGCGGCCCATGATGAGCAGCACGAAGACGTGCAGCGGGATCAGGTTGATGATGAACACGTAGCCACCCCAGGCGGAGACCATGTAGAAGTAGGACAGGGCAGCGGCGGCGGACCAGAAAACGGAGCCCGTCTTCACGGAGCGCACCCACAGGAAGTACGTGAACTGGAGGGCGAAGATGGCGATGCCCTCGTTGTCATACGATCCGGCCACGGATCTGCTGATGTAGCCAGGCACGATGGCGATGAAGCTGGCTGCGAACAGGCCGGCTCCAGCAGACCACAGTTCCTTCGTAAGCAGATACGTGGAGATGGAGGTCAAACCACTGAAGACCGGTGCCAGGAACACGCAGATGTCGCGAATGTGGACCGGAATGTTGAGCACATGCAGCAGCCAATGGATTCCGCCGGAGGTGATCATCAGGCCAGGGTACACCGTGCCGCCGACAATCCTGCCCAGTGGGTACCAGGCCCGCTCGTCGAACCAGTTGAGGAAGTTGTACCACCCATTCTGCACCATGTAGGCGGTGGCCCGGTAATTAAACCACGGATCAAATTCATGGATTATCGACTCGAAGCGGATTACGGCGAAGAGGCGAGAGGAAAAGCCGGCCAGCCAGGCAATTAGCAGGATGGCGAAGGTTATCAGGCTGCTGTAGCCAGCCACCTTGCTGTTCAGCATCTTTGGCGTCCGATTCATTTCCCGATTCCAGCCCAGTTACTCGAAAATTATAACCGATCCTAAATGCAACGACACATTCTTTGCTTAGACACGTAGTCTAAAAAAAAATTGCCGGGTAGACTGCCAACTCGTGTGAATGTTGACTATCGATAGTTATATCTATTTTAAGGAACTGTGGAATGGAATGGTGGAAGTTTAAGTTGTTTTAGAAGTTTTTAAAATGGAAAATGTCACATTTATATTGTATAAACTACATAGTTTTTAAATTTATATATTTCGAAAACCTATTCCCTTTGAATCTGTTTAAATTCCGTATGTAACGATATGTATTTAACAATCTTTAATTCTCTCATCTCTAATCAGAAATGAACTAGTTCAATAAACTAATTCTCATTCGATGCCCTGGAAAGTCGCCGAATTAAAACAAAATTAAAAATCAACATGAATAATGGAAATACTAAACGTTTGCCAAAGAAACTAAGCGTTTCTAAAAAGCCAGCGGTCACTGTGAATTCGCCTTTGGCAAAATATCCTTTACAAACAATAAGATTAATATTGTGTTTACATTTTTAGCCGGTGTTTACCACACTTTTTGTTGGTCTAATATATAATAATAATTTAATTCAACTTCTAGCTACCTGGTTTCCTTAACCAAAACTATACGTATGACTCCTCAGGAACCTTGACCTGTATAATTTGCAGGATTCCCATCAAGCCTACTGTTTGGAAGGTCCACATCAACTCGAAGCAACACAAAACAAATGTTGATCAAGCCAAGCAGAATAAGCAAATAGAAAAACCAGTAGTTACAACTATTTCTACCAAGGAATCACCTGCCAAATCTTCTCCTGTCACCAAATCCACCACTCACCAAGATAAAACTCCACAAACGAGCCTAGAGCAGGACTCTCCTATTATTCAAGAGAAAACCTCTCAAACAAACACGAGCAATAAGCCAGCTACAACTGAATTAGTTTCCGAAAAACTGCCAGAAAAGTTTTTCGACGAGGATAAAACCAGTAAATCAGAAGCTGCCCGTCTTCAGGACGAAGAATGGCAACGATTTCAGCAGGAGATTAAGAAAGCTGCCACAGAATCCAGCGTCATCGTAGCCGACGAGCAGGAGGACATCAATCTCAAGAGGCACATCAAGGAAATAGACGAACAGATCGATAATTGGAAGCGGTTCATCAAAATAAATGATCAGAAAACTTTGCTCTTGAATAAAAAGCGGAGAGTTAATCCCAGAGTAGAAATAGACCCCCAATTAAGTTCCAGTGAAGAAGACTGCAGTGTTGATGATTTGTACGACTGGCGAACGAAAAACTTGCACAGATAAAAGTTGCACTTATTAAAATGTTATTTCTAAACCGCACCAAAATTCGCTTTTTATAATCTGTTAAAGATCAATCGAAGGGGTATTATCTTACAATTTAATTAATATATGAGAAAATAGTAATATTAGAGTCGTTTTATTTCAAATGAATTTTTGGTACTATGAATTTATGAAATTTAAATTAAAAAGTAGCCAGAAACTGATTTTCTAAGCTAAAACTGTTGCTGTATTACTCTGGTAAATATTTATACAAAATATTAACAGTTTTTTTAAATTTGAAATTTAATAAAAATGAAATCGAAAATTAAAAAAATATATATTAATAGTAACTGATTCTCTAAATGAATACTTTTAAATACATTTCTTATTGTTATATTTTAATTTGGATTAGTGTGAGTTTGAGTGGATGAGTGTTTTAATCGGTAACAAAAATATTTGAAGCGACAATGAAATAGTGACTTATACTTAGTATACGTTTAATATATCGTTGAGAAAATATTTTCTTTTTTTTTTAACTTTCAACTGATACCTTAAAAATATGAGTGAAAAAAATTATTGAGGATTTTGAATCTGTAATTCAAGATAAGTTCACAACTTTTTGAATAGATTCTAAAATTAATTTTGCTCAAAGTAATGTTAAAAACTTTATTGTATCTATACTATCTTGTTTTCTAAACCAGAAACTGGTTTCAAAACAGCTGACATACCATGACGGTGAAAGTAAACTAGTGAAACGACCGGGTAGCAATTTGAATATGCGGCCACACTTGTGATTAACTCTCACGATTTGTATAAAGGCTATGCGATTTGTACGCTACATAATGCTGAAACTTAGTACATATTTTATGTTACATTAATTAGTTACACACTTTTATTTATTCTTAGGCCGTATTTACAGAACTTTTGTTAACTTTTTTTTAAGCATTGCAATAATTACGTTTTAGACTTGTTAACGTTGTTTTGTATATAAAAATGTTTTGATTTAGTTAATTTATTGATCAAGTTTCCCACATATCAACAAAAATATCCCATTGTTACAATGATATCCAATTCGTGAACATGAATTTGAAATATATATTCTTATTTGGGATGTTGACGATGAATTATTCGAGTCTTATGTGCTTGGAATATTCGAAAGGCTTTAATGAGTCTGCAGTTATAAACACAATTCATACGGGCCAAAGCAAACGAACGAGTAAATTTCTATTTGACACAATTTTTCGCATAAGTTCGGGAGTATCAAATGCTTTTGGACTTTCCGATACAGAAGACGATGTTGAGTACACCGAGAATTCCAGCCTCAAAAATTGTGATTGCGGTACGTATACATATATTTAAATGATTTTGATTTCATTTAATATATTCTTTGCTTAAAAGAAATATCAGGTGACTGACCTATTTAACCAACTTAATTTCACTTTTACAGACTGTGGTTTTTCCAATGAAGAAATAAGAATCGTTGGAGGAAAACCAACCGGAGTTAACCAATATCCTTGGATGGCGAGAATTGTTTACGATGGAAAATTTCATTGCGGTGGCTCGTTGCTGACCAAGGATTATGTGTTATCCGCCGCTCACTGTGTGAAGAAGCTGAGAAAGTCGAAAATAAGAATTATTTTTGGAGACCACGATCAAGAAATCACTTCCGAGTCTCAGGCCATTCAACGGGCTGTTACAGCCGTAATAAAACACAAAAGCTTTGACCCAGATACCTACAACAATGATATTGCTCTGCTAAGACTTCGCAAACCCATTTCGTTTTCGAAAATAATAAAGCCTGTATGTCTTCCGCGGTTTAATTACGATCCTGCAGGTACGTATTCTTTCTTTATAAATTTAAATCAGAAAGGAAGTAAGTCAAAATCGATATACCGTGGCAACTATTACAAAAAAAAAAAAATAATATAAAATGATTATATTTCGAATATTATATTATGTTTATTGTTTCTGTGGAAACTGAATAATATAGTCGTCCGATCCGGTCCGTTCCGACTTCTATATTACTTGAAATAGAAACTCGAGTTTTGGGAAAGTGTCATCTAAATAGTTTTAAAACTGAATTACCAGTTTTCGTAGAAATGGACAGAATAACGAACGGACATGGGAAGATCATAAATATAATAGAAATATATACTTTATAGGGTTTAAACTATAAAATATCAAAATATAATTAGTCATAAGAATTTAAATACCATGTCTCTTGTAACATTCTAGATATTAATTTAATATTTTTCCAGGCCGAATTGGAACAGTTGTTGGCTGGGGACGCACGTCCGAGGGCGGAGAGCTCCCGTCCATTGTTAATCAAGTGAAGGTTCCCATTATGTCCATCACGGAGTGCCGTAATCAAAAATACAAAAGTACTCGAATTACCTCATCGATGTTGTGCGCGGGCAGGCCGAGTATGGACTCTTGCCAGGGCGATAGTGGAGGACCGCTGTTGTTATCTAATGGAGTTAAGTATTTTATCGTCGGCATTGTTTCCTGGGGCGTCGGATGCGGCCGCGAAGGATATCCGGGTGTTTACTCAAGAGTGAGCAAATTCATTCCATGGATTAAATCAAATTTAGAAAATACATGCCTGTGTTCTTAGTCAATGTTGTATGGAAGTACACGAACTTATTTATTGCCTAGCTAAGCCGCAACCATGCAGTCGAAAATAAAAATTAAAGTTTCATTAAAATTTATAGTATTCTATTTATTTTTGACCCGTTTGGTCAATAACTTAAAAATTTTAAGAGGTAAGGATCGAACTAAATTTGACGTATATATATTGAAGTGTATATAAAACATACGAAAGTATTATATACTATGAGTTATGTGTATATCGATGTAAATGCTATTGCTACATTTTCTAATAATAGTCTAGTATACTATATTACAAAATGTTTTTTAAGTGCTAAACGTCCCTGTACCTATTACTTATAACTGAATTCGCCCCTTTTAACATCTCATTTGATATCTTTCCACAGCTTGAGTCATTGACGGATGGTATTCTGAGTGCTGCATGCAAGGGCATTATAAAATCGGTGTTGGCATTGGAACCCAACTGATAATTCTCCATAGCCTCGTAAATTGACTTAAAGAGCGGTTGCCTGTCCGAATGGAAGTATCCACGATTTCCGTGGATCACTTTGACGCCAGCGTGAGACATGTTGCAAATGCTCATATACATGCAGTGATCTGGACGGTAGTTGTATTCGCATGGCATTATGTACAGTTTATCAGGATGATAATAGAATAGTATGTTAATTATGTCTTGATCTCCCCAAATAATACGTAGCTTGTACTCCTTATGTATAGACAAGATATGTTGTTCCCATTTCATTTCCCTCATTCGTGTGAGATTCATCAGCATAACGCCGGAGTTAACTCCGAGTCGTCCGTAGAATGGATGTCTGGCAAAGCGGTTGTACCATCCAATATTTTCGTTCTCATGTTCGGGCGTCAGTGCGGACATTTGAGTCTCATTGAACTTCTTAAAGAATTGCCAGATATCGGAGATCGGTGACAGAAACAAAATATCCGTGTCGACATATAGCAAAGAGTCCACATTAGTTAACAGCGACTAGAACAAAATGAGTTTATAAGTATTTAAAATGTTATTTATTTGTTTTACACTTACCGGCAAAAATAAACGTTGAGCTGCACACGGCTTGAATAGATTTTTCCATTCGACCTCATTGCCACTAGGGAACTTTAGCGGCAAAATCTCGAAGTCAAATGTAAATGGCTTAATGTCTCGCCAATCTGTAAGCTTTTCCCTGAACTCCTCATCCTTTCCATCTTCAGTGAAAATCACAAATTTAAGATACTCCTCGTCATAGTTAAACAAAATTGCCGATTTGATCATCACTAGGGTCTCCTGTACCCTTTGACCGCAGCAAACCACCACTATATATAGGGGGGTTTTCCAAGCTTGTCTGTAAAGTAAATTGATTGAGAAAGTTTAAGTGAAAATGATTCGTCATCAATATCAGTATGCCTAAAAGAAGAGTGGTTCGATTAGTTAAAATGACTAACATTTTATCGGTTAAATGATTACCATTTAACGCGACAAAAGGTGAGACAAAAATTCAAAACTTTCTAAGCTTTATTTAAAATATAAAAAAAGAATTAATTATTGTTTTTTGAGGTATTGATTGTGGTTTAAGTATATATGTATATTTGCTTTTCAATAAAAGGTATGTTAATGTAACTATAACAACCGGATAATTCAATACTAAAAACAAATTACAAATTATGAACTATAGTTTTTAGTTTATGTTACTGAACTACGTTTTTAAAAAGTATTTTTTTGAACATAAACAAATATCATCATTAAATAAACAATACTATATTTTCTACACAATATTTAAAACCTCTAAAAATGCAAATTATAATTATTGTTTAATACTTACGCTTCATTATAGCTGGCTATCTTTCCTTTATAATCAGTGACCCAAGAAGGTTTTTGATGAACGAAATAGGAAATTATTGCTAATGCAATTAAGCATAGCAGACACATGTGCAGGTGTTGCTAAAATATTACAAATATTTTATATTTACTTAAAAGTAAGACTGTGCTGACAATTGCCTTTCTATAATCATCTTATAACATTTATTTACCATTTTAAGATTTTGCGTTGGCAATGTTTTTGCCGCAAATTGTTTATGTTTATTGCGTAGGTAGCCGAAGATGCCATAGTTTTCCCCAGCAACACGAATAATATCCGCACAAACCTTAAGTTAAATGAATAGAGCAATTGGCATTGCTTAGTTTGACATAATGAAAACTCATGGTAAATGCATAATATTTTAAACAATGTGCAAAAAATCTATGCACTAGCACATTTATAAAACAGTCGTAAATATTTTTGTGTTAGTCAAGATAGCGGCATTCTTAAGGGTGGATTTAATATAGTTGAAATTGGAACAATAAGAACCAAGTCGATTAATTTGATGGTCAATTAATAAATAAATTCCTACCATTACTTGTAAGAATAGTTAAAAAATAAATCAAATAAAATGAATATAAGTTAACTGAAGTTTCTTGGCATTTTAAAATTGTGTATATCATATATTTTAATATATTCCACATTCGGGGTGTATTTTTACACCGTGTTTCGTTACCACATGTTCCTGTCAGCAGTTGTCGATAAGTTATCGATATCAAGTCAAGTGGTGTGGGTATTTTGTTTTCATTTATCTTTAACCGTACACGTGCAGGCAGGAAATAATAACAAATAAATATGCTGCGAAAACAAGCCAGGCAACGAAGGGAATATCTCTACAACAAAGCACTTACCGAGCGCCTGAAGTCAAAGCAAAAAATTCAGGAGACCGTTGTTCAAAGCATCAACGAAAACAAGTCCATTGGTTCTAAAAATGTGAAGAAAAGTTTGACGGCGTACAAATCGCTGAAATATGCTGATGATGGTAAATAAAATAAACATTAATCATTTATTTTTAAAATCAGGTTCCCATAGTAAATGGAACCACATAACATTACTAAACCACATTTTTGCTAAAAAAAAAAGAGCCAAAGAGCTCAGCCCAGGGAGTTAAGCACCTGGTTTTTCTCTTACAGAAATTTGGAAGAGGAATACAAAACAAGTAATCGTGACTGTTAATTAGGAAGTAGAGATTGTAATGCAAATTCCGAGCTAACAAGATTCATATAGTAATTTCCTTTGCGTGTTTGTAGGACAGACAGCGATAAAAAAATAAATGTTTATTCTATTGCAATTGTTGCCTGTATTTTAACCAAGGTGGTTATCCGAATTTAAATATTTACTTAATATGCATTCTTTATATTATTCATTCTATAAATCTAATGACGTTAAATTTGGTTTATAATTTAGAACTTTAAGAATGTAATATCCTACCCAAGTCCTCAGTTTAAAAACTATATTAAGTTTATTAATCCAATAACTTTAAAATTGTCATATAAATAAAGATTATTGGAATGTAATATCTTGTCCATTTTCTTAATTAAATGTTTTAAAATAAATGTTTTGGATATGATGAGGCTGCTTCCCCATCTTCTTTTTGGGAACTTAATTAGGTACAAAACTAAGAAACCGAAAACAGGATAACAAATTTAAAACACTAATATTCTTACTCCGGAAAATACTTTTTTACAATGGGATACACGATTAGTTCTTCAATTCAGTTAAGCTTCATTGATTTGATAATGTAGTTCAAACTCTAAAAATGTAACTAATATTAATCAAAAATGATTATTTCAGGTGTCGAAGACCGCACTGTTAATGATGAATACCACTATGCTGGCTGCGAAGATCCCAAAATAATGCTGACCACCTCGCACAGCCCCTCGTCCAGATTGAAAATGTTTATGAAGGAACTGCGTCTGATATTCCCGAATGCCCAACAGATGAACAGAGGCAACTACCAGCTGCCTACACTAATGCATGCCTGTCGTGCCAATAATGTAACCGATTTCCTAATTGTGCACGAGCATCGTGGTATACCCGACAGCCTTGTGGTTTGTCATCTTCCGTATGGGCCAACTGCCTTCTTCAACATATCCGATGTTGTGATGCGTCATGATATTCCCGATATTGGACACATGAGCGAGCAGAAGCCACATTTAATTTTTAACAACTTCAAAACGCCCATCGGTTTGAGAACTGTCAAGATACTTAAACACTTGTTCCCAGTGCCGAAGGAGAACTCCCAAAGAGTAATGTCCTTTTTAAACCACAACGATTCGATTATATTTAGACATCATCAGTACAAATATGTGAACAAAGAACTGGAGCTCAGCGAAGTGGGACCACGATTCGCTCTGAAGCTGTATCAAATTAAACTTGGAACGTTGGAGAACATTAAGGCGGCTGACACTGAATGGATTAATCGACCATATATGAACACGTCGCAGAAGAGGCTTATTTTTTCAAACGATCCGGGAATAATAAATAAGGACACTACCGACGTCTAGGAATCTTTGTACAACACATAAGAGGAAGCGAAGTAATAAAAAAATAAAAATAAATGTTTTTGCCCTAAAATTTTAGTGTGTTTACTTTCATACTGCTCATAATGGACACACACATGATCAATAACACTACTATACAAATTAAGGTCAATTATAATTTACTTTAGAAATGACAATTTCGTTTTGTTTGGTGCAGTTGGTAACATAAATACATTTTAAGTTCCATTTTATACTTTGTATACATAAAATAAAATTTGGCTTTGAAAGCCGATTTTTGTTCCTAAATATTTTTAGTTTTTCCATGAATATCATTATTAAACTTTTCGAAAAATACTTAAAATTGTCAAATACAAAAAAAATGGTTTATAGAAATAAAAGATTAAGGTAATTTATACGAACGTTTTAAAAAACTTAGTGCAATTCCATAGTTTTTAAATAATATCTTACAAACATCTAAAGTTCAGTGTTTTAAATGCTAATATTAACGCGTATTACATTTTTAAGCCGCCGGGAATTTACATTCAGCAGATGAATTTTGATAGTGGCGCGAATAAGTTTTCTTTTATGCCAACATTTTTTTACCCAATAAATTTGCAGATAATACATGGTCAGCAAACTGCTTTAGAGTCCAAGCAGTACAAGAGTATTTTAAATTTGTGGCCACGCCCCCTTCCGCCCTTTTAATTTACGAAACTTTGGGGAAGCCACACTTGGCATATCAACTTTTTTGGCCAATATAAGTT